CTGCGCGTGAGTTGCAGGAAGGTTAGTCATTATATACAATGATGTTTGCAATGACCATGTTATAACTATTAATTGTTGACTGACTGAGAGGTCTCTGCAGTCGTGACATCATTTTCTCCCCAATGTGTGATTAGCATCACGCCCCGCTTTCCAGAATGCCCGATCGCGCAAGGGCCTCTTCGCTTCAGCCACGCCAGCGTTTTGCCCCCCCCCCCGCAGTTGAAATGTCGGCACTGTAGGCTCTTAATAACACCCTCAGCTGAACTTCATTTAAGAGTAAATGAAATGACAAATCTATTTATTTATATCAAATGGCAGGCGTTGTGAAAGTTATCATTAGCCCTTTAGTTGACTTCAAGTTTCACAGAGGAGGAGGAACATCAAAGTGAAATAAGTCGAGAGGGAGAGGGGGAACAGATGAGAGTTTCAAAGATGTAAAAGAGACAGACACAAAAGTGGTAAAAGGTGAGGTGAGTACTGTGGAAGTAGTCGAATATGACATACAGTGGGGTGATGGTAGTTAGAAGCCAGAAGTCAACTGCCGGTTAATAGACTTTTTTGCCGTATGAATATACGTTGCCCAGGGTGCACCACGTGGAGGTAAGTCTATCGCACACCCCAAATGGCAAATGTAATCTTTTACCACCTTACTACGCAGTTCGTGGAATTCTTTATAAATTTGATGTTGAAAATTTATCATACTGCATTATAATCGCAGGTAAAACAGCATTATAACGTTTCTAATATTAAAAATATTTTATCGATAAACTATTGGCAGTTCTTTGATCTCTAAATCTCAATAGCGACGACCAATTGTCCGCCTTCTGAATACCTCAGTGCTTTTGTAGGCAGGGAATTTTGAAAAGTAAGACTATTTCGATATTGTTGTTGGATTTCTCGGTTCCGCTGCCACGATCTTCATGCTCGATGGATATTGAAAAGAAGTCAGATGCTAAGATTCATGACAATGTTGATGTTAATTCATCAACGTTGCTTTATATTATAGAAAGCGTTGTTTCGATGGTAGGAGACTGGATTAAGAGTATATCTGTGCACATTGACTTCCCTATGTTCTATGCTCCGAAAAGTGGGATATTTTGTTGACATGATCGGTAACTCGGCACACTTATAATTCTTTATTGGTAACGTGCTTCCAATAAGATCGTCTCCAACTCAGTAAAGGACTGAGTATTATTCTTATTGGAAACAAAATTGCTGAGCCACCAGGAGACAAAAGATAGACTCTACGTCGTTGGACCTTGTTGGTCGCCAACCCCGTCAGAAATTTAATAGTATGATGGAACCAAAGTTCCAATAAATGTATGCTCTAACTGTTCCCACTAAATCAACTCGATCCCATTCTCCTTCAATGCCTCACGTCATCAATTTATTATCCCAGCAGCATAATTTGCTTGACCTTGAAGTAATTATTCAATCACAAAGTTACAAAAGATTCTAAGTACAAAAACGAAAGTATAAGTGAAGCACTTTGAATAACAATACTTTTACTTTTGGCATCAGTATGAAGGTAGTTGGTTCTTAATTGTAGTTCAACCATTTTTATTTTCCCTAAAGTGTTATGAAAACAACGTAGCTAAACAAAATTTCAATAGAAATCAACTTTTTTTAAAATAGTTTGGGGGAAATATAGGGCAAACTCCAGCTGTTTACACTGTGTTTATTCCAAAATTTCAAACAGGGTGACCTGAGTTTTACCTAAACAAGTCTCCAAGTCTACAAAGCTGAATATCCATTCTCACTAAGTACTAATAAATATGCTTACTCTATGATTGAATTGATTGAATAGGTATTGTAATAAATTAACTTCTAAATTCAGCTTCAAATGGGAGCCGATTAGGCGAGACATGGACTATGTTTGGCGCATGCTTTAGAAAGATATTCTAAAGCGATTCTCTTGAGAGGCTACATGTTTATCAGAATTACCTATTGCGGCAGGCTATCCATACCGTACAGTTTTCACCTATGAGCACCCATCAGGCAGCCTCTGACACGATAGACACGCAGGTTGGTCACTGTTTCAGAGGAGCGCAACAGAGATAAAGTGATTTCATTAACTCCATTCTAAATGACAGCCATCTATAAGCATCATTCCTATTGATATTTCTACCACCGCATGTGAAGAAGAAATAACGTAGAGTATAACTCGTTTTCTTCTTACTAAAAAGATGAATTCCCATGGTTTTATTAAATCAAGGTCATTTAATTGGAAAAAAAACGTTAGAGTTCTTATCAACAAAATTTAGAGGACAGAGTAGTGTACTATCGTCAATATTTCCTAAATTTTGGGAAATAAAAGCGAATATTAAAGACTCCTTATGAAATTTATCTTGAGCACTAGCAGTGAGATTTTTCCCTTCAGACAAATCTAGTTTAAGTGTTTGGTAATTGTAAGCTCAATTAAAACAGTGAACTGACTGGTGAGTAACATAAATCAAGATTAATTTTAACCCACTTACTTTGCTGAATTTTTTCTACATCCATTTCATTAGTTGTCAAAAAAGAATACTTGGCGGTGGTGACCATCTATTCTTCATAGCTGAGAAAGGGGATGGTGAAAGTGTAATAGAACACAGTTTTTCTAAATAGTGTCTTCCTTTTACTGCAACCTACTAGTACCTAATAGTATTGAGTCAATTTACCTTATCACTTGGAATTTCATCGATAGGTTAAAGTGGAAAGGAGTTGAAGCACTCGCGAATGAGATATTGGTGAGAGTGACTTCCAAGATAATCGAATTCGATATTGAAAGCCTTCTGTTCCACTCCACTTCCGAGCTTTATGCAGTGATGACACCCAACTAAACATTTAATCTAAAATAAGGTTTGGGGAGGCAGAAAATGAGAACGACCATAGATCTTATGCAACAGTTCTGCTTTTTTTAAGTGATGCTGTAAAACTTAAGCGAATTTGTGCAAATGGAATGAATTCTTTCACCGTGTATTCCATTTGACACTAACTTTAATATTAGCAACCACAAGATAGCCTTTTCGTTTTAAGCTACATTTCTCCTGAGATCCGAGTTCACAAATCGAACTTCTCCTTAATGTCATCCAACAAAATCGTTTATAAGGCTCATTTGTGTGACACCTTTAACAGTGAACGGAATGAAGAGCAATTGGGTACATTTATACTAACATGTTTATTAGTGGATAAGAATGACAACGGAGTTTACTTAGAGGCGAACTCAGTAAATACTTTGTGAATGATGTTACATGCCTCCTTGATTTGCTCCTCAGAGATCACCAAGGTGGGAGCAAAACGAATGATTGTTCCATGTGTAGGCTTGGCAAGGAGACCATAATCACGAAGTTTTTTACAAATTTCCATAGCATCATACTTATCATCGATCACCACAGCATTCAAGAGGCCCTTTCCACGCACCGAAGAGACAATGTTCTTTGGTAAAGTGCTCATTGATTCACGGAAAATCTTGCCAAGTCTATCAGCACGTTCAGCCAACTTCTCTTCTTCCATCACCTCAAGAGCGGTCATAGCAACACGACAGGCAAGGGGATTGCCACCGTATGTTGAACCATGTTCACCTGGTTTAATGGTGAGCATTACCTCATCGTTGGCAAGTACAGCAGAAACAGGCATGATACCGCCAGAGAGGGCTTTGCCAAGAATAACGATATCTGGCTTTACACCCTCGTGATCAACACATAGACGTCTACCTGTGCGACCAAGGCCAGTCTGGACCTCATCAGCAATCCAGAGAACTTTGTACTTGGTGCAGAGTTCTCGTACCTTCTTAAGATAACCATCCGACGGGACTCGTACACCGGCTTCACCCTGAATTGGTTCAACCATGAAGGCAGCTACGTTTGGGTCCTTGAGTTCCTTTTCAAGAGCCTCAGCATCATCGTATGGAACAATTTTGAATCCTGGCATGAACGGCCCATAATCTTCGTAACAGGATGGATCGGTAGATGAAGAACAGGCAGCAAGTGTACGACCCCAAAAGTTGCCCTCAGCAAATAAAATGACAGCTTTATTTTTTTCTATTCCTTTAACTTTATAGGCCCACTTTCTGGCAAGTTTTAAAGCTGTCTCACCACCTTCCACACCTATAGAGTGGGATAAATGATATAAAAAGAGGATACAAAAATTGATTATCGATATATCTACTTGCCAGTATTCATCGGGAGGACTTTATCATAACCGAAGAGTTTGGTGATGTACTCTTCGTACTTGCCAAGAATGTCGGAGTAGAAAGCGCGTGATACAAGAGTTAGTTGCTTGGCTTGATCAATAAGGGCTTCAACTATTTTTGGGTGACAATGTCCCTGGCTAACAGCGCTATACGCACTGAGAAAGTCTAAATATTTATTTCCATCTACGTCCCAAACATAGGCACCTTCACCACGGCAAAGGGCAACTTCAAGAGGATGGTAGTTATGAGCACCGAATTTAGATTCGCGAGAATAAACCTCCTTGGATTTCTCAGTTTGTTTGCAAATAGCCTAAGGCAAAAAATGATAGTTATTTATGATTTAAACTTAGAAGATTAATATCTGGGGAAAAACTTACGTGAGACATAACGATCACCGACAATAATGGAAAGCGCAGGATATAATGAAACTTTCGCTCATTAATATAGGGCGTTGTCAGCCTTGACAATGATAAAAACAAACAAATCGCAATAGACTATTCTGTTGAGCAACTAGATCAAATTGGCATAGTTAATTAAGTGAGAAAGTCTTTCATTTACTCTTCAATGGATTTTTAATTTAAGACTGAAGAAACAAAATTCGTAACACCATGGATTACAATAAAACGACCGATTTATTGAGTTAAAGACCACAAGTTTTCAAAATATCTCTACATCTTATGAATAATTCCGTGTTTTTTCGTTCTAAAACGAAAATTCTACACGACTCATGAATCTTAAACTTTACTAATCAAACTAAAATCTCCTCCATAGTAAATAATGTTTTAAATAATACCGAAGTATTCTCTTTGTGTAGCTAATGAAAATTCAGTTTTACTAGTGAATATGAACCCGGGGTCATCGCCAAAATAAATAATATCATATAGTGAATTTTTCAATTGCTCGGAGGGACACGAAATTTGGCCAATAATTCGCGCAATAAAACATAGATTGTGGATATAATTGGGCACCAACTCACATCGGACGGTACTAATAAAGAAATTAATTTTCACCATTTTAGTTTTCGACCCAATAGTCTGTATCAGGGTTTCCGTAGTAATGCAAAAAATATTGAGCAGTGAATTGACAATATTAATTCGGCTAAATTTTTCGCGACAATTATCAGCTTGATTATTGCGTCACATCGATCTTTATCACTCATATTTTAGCTCGGAGGAGACTTCGAGTTAAGGAATTTATTAAATGAGACATTTGCATTAATTTAATGAACATAAATAAATTAAAATAATAACGTGTGATTATCTTATTCAATAAGCAGGCACATTTTGGAACGGACCAATGATTGCTATCTTGGGCTTATTCTGTGTTCTTCGCGTAAGGATTTTTCTTTCAATGATAATACTGGAATATTTTATATACATAATTAGCAAAATAAATGCTTTAATTAATTTAACAATTGATATACAACAATTTGTTACTTAGGCATGCCATGCTGAGGTTTGCTAGATATTTCCCCTTCTCAACATATCGTTCAATAGATTTGACTGCTTCCTTCTCGCGTAAAGCTAATTTGAGTCAATTTGAGGATCGAATTCTACGTGAATCAGAGACATTAGGTTTATTAGTTAAGAACTCAACTGTTCGTGTCCAATTCTCGCCTAAGCTTCCCGAACGTTTAACCCAGAGTCTTTCAATCACAAATGATTCTCCCATCGAAGTCCAGTCGTCTGTTATTAAATCTCTCATACGCAAAGAAAATGTCTCTATTAGAATTGTAAGTATTTTTTAGTTAATTTTTATGCTCTGGTCAGATGCATTTAAATTAATTTTGTTTTAGCTTGAAGAAACTGAAGGCTCGTCATTAGTCATTATTGAGCCAAATCAAGAATCGAAATCTTCATCTTCCTCTTATAGAGATAAGTTGCTAAAAATGCGCACAAACATAGATGACCACATGTTGGGAATTAAAGTGAAACAGGCGACTGAACTTGCTGCCAAGGGGCACGAAGTCAGTATAAATGTACGCCTTACTAATCAACAACTCAGACAAATAAATGACTCTCAAACTCTTTCAGAAGAACAGAAGCTGTCAATGAAAAAAGTGAGTTTACAATTGAATCATAAATGATACACCCACTTGAAATATTGTTAACAGACGTACTCTGGCCACCAAATTTACCTAATTGTCGTAAATTTGTTGAAGTATTTAGTATAACTCATAAATGATTCTGGCTACATCCTTTAATATGGAAATTTGATCGACTCAGACCAACTATACTGCATACGTCAATTCATTGGAACGATACCCACATCAAAATTACATCAGGCGATTAGCATTTTCAATTTAATATCTAACGTATGATCTGAAGCGTTTGCTTTCCATGCACTTATGAAGATCAATGTCCTAATGAAGCTTCCTGAATCATTATTCGATTTGTACACTATTCTGCCTATCCATTTTATCCTGCATTAGTTAGAATAAGTCTCTCGACTTTAGCTTTACTCTATTGCTTTGAAGAAGCTATTTACTTCGAGCACATCCAGTTTGATATATATTCCTACAGTTACTGGTACTGACCACTTTTCCTCTATAGAACTTATACGATTCCAACATCAAGCGATTCACCGAAGCGTTCAAAGGGTGCACTTCCAAGAATCCGAAGTTGATAGAAAGCAATGACCTCAGGGAATTTACAATAGTTCTCTCTCCTCGACAGTAGCAAGGTATATGGTTCCACACTGTAAAATAATCTGATTTATCATTCTATAATAAAATTGCTTTAATGAAAATCGAATGCTATTTATTAAGAAAGTATGTACACTCGATGAGGCGATTGGAGTAATCTAGCTTTATACATCCTTAGGGACTTTACCAGCGCGTGGTCGTGGCTTTGTGTATTGACTTAGTGGACGAACGGCATAGTCCTCCGGCCTAAAAACAAATCGCAAATGGGGAAATTGGGGGACAAGATTTTAGAAAGAGTGAAATAAACCCACCAATCAAATAGCTTAGGAAAAGCCAAAATTTCTTCCTGGGTATACTCATTTAGTCTCTTGGGAACAGGCATAACCTGACGAATAACTCCCGAAATATTCTTCATTAGATCCTCTGGTACGGTCTGACAAATAAAAAGTTAAATTTCAATATTAAAAATTGGGAATAAGAAAATAAACTTGGTGGAAATTGGCTACTAACCTCAATACCATCAGCGAAAATATGAAGACGAGAGAGCCAGTCATGACGTGAGGAGCAGTTCTTAAGATGGGACCTAACTTCCCTCCTTAAGACCTATTATAGAGCAAACTAGCGATTAGTACAAATAAAAGCAGAGTGATTTAGAATTTAGTGAGACCAACCTCAGTTGGATCGCGGGCATGCATTTCTTCCATTGTTTCTTCAACGCGGTATGGACCGAATCTCGTGTGGTGTGTGTAGAGAAAACGTCTCCAGTACATACTATTATCCTTTGCGGCGATGTGGCGACTGTTAAAAACAATAATACTATCTCCATAATCGTGTCGAGGGTCATATATTCGTTTTCTGGCTCCAGTTAGGTAAGATGCCAATAGCTCTCCAGAAAGCATCGGACATTGCATATAAGCGTCATATAAGAACCACCGATGTGCAAAGGTTTTCCATCTCTGAAAACATTAAATTTGAACAGGAGTGGCCATACCTGTATGCGGAAATAAGACATTGGAATAGAGACCGCAGTTGATACAGAAACGAAGAAGCGTTGGCCTCTAACTTCGCACCTACTCTTAAGATCAGTAAAATAAAATCAATTAGTATTGCAGACACATACATGCTTTAATTTTCATTTTTATAAAATAGCATTAAATAATGAAAAAATTGCGAAATGATGAAGATTTGCATTACGATATAAACCGGGCAACTTCATCATCTATTTCGTTCAATACAGCACATGGATAGTTTACGGCCATTAAGTTTTTCAGTGATAACTTTCGCAATTTTCACTTCTTTGCAAGCAATTTCGTTATCATTGAATGAGACTATGAGTAGTTTTAAGTTGCTATTTTGTTTGGTTTCAAGAAAATTTTGAGGTATTTCGAAAACTGCCTAAAAATATCTTTCCAAATATTCAATACTGTTGTGAAAGTGGCTAGTCTTACAAAAATAGTAAATGTTTGGATTCATTTTAATAGATGAAATGTCTTTTTCACGATCTACAGAGTTGCAATATAGGACAAACTAGGTAGTTCAGTTCGCACAATTCATAGAATGTAATATTGTCTGTTCAAATTTCATTTAACTTTAAATTTTTATTTCAGGTTGATTTAAAACTTGTGCTGGAAAAAGCAGTATTTGATAATTTCTTAAAAATAAATCAATGTCACATAACTAATTCTAATAAAGAGATTTTATTCATTTCTCTTCTTGAATGTAAAGAAGCAGTGATTTAAATTTTGGAGAAGAACATATAAAACTAAATTTGTCAGTGTAAAATCTTAAATACACTTGGGTTTTTTCGAAAATATTATTATGTCAACATATTGAGTATGTGCAGACATGCTTGTAGTTCGTTACCTGTTGACAATCATTGTAGGCATGTACGACTTTACTAAAGCATTTTAATACCGAATTTGATCATGCACAAGCCAATGCTATCTGTGTGCACCTAAAGATAAAGATAAGGATAAAATTAAAATCAGAGCAGTTCGTATATCTGCGAATTGTTTTATCACATACACTATAACATAAAATAGATCCTATGGACTAAGTTGAGGCCAGCTAACATCTGGCGCTGAAATAGTTTAGCTGATCTCGGCAGGTGCCCTTCCCTTAAAATTTCAGGGTATGCAAACGGAAACTCTTAAAAGACCTGATACGTATGCCTTTGAAGCCTTTGAGCAGTGTTTTTTCTTATTAGGGTCTGAGAGATCGTTTATAAAAGTCTGCTGTTACTATTTTAAAAATGGCTTTAAAATATCATGATCTAATTATTTTGCTCACATAGGTCGTGTATAGAAACTCTTGCGAAACTCTTGGTCGTCTAACAATGCTTCCTCCCATTTTTTTACTTAATTATACTCGGTTATTTTATCCTTCCTTTTCAATTGGAAGTTTAAAAAGTTATTGGAATATTTTATTCATTCTTAAAACTCGATTTAAAAACAATGCAAATTGTGGTGACAGTCGACAAATTATTCGGATCTTTATTCTAAGCGGGTTGGTTCTTACTAGATCAAGTATTTGCAAAAATATGAATTATTTATTATAAATTATAGTAAGTTAAATAGAACTTAGCAAACCTCTTCAAATTTAAGTAGAATATTTTTTTAACCAAGTAGACCATTATAATGCTTTGCTTTCCATCTACTTCACCTCACATTTCACTTGTTATATTAGTAAGAAATATGACATTAACAAGGTTAACAGTTAAACAAACTGGATAAAATGATTAGCTCTCAAAACACCTTAGTTTTGCTCTGAAAAGGGTTACACGAACCATGGTGAACAATTTATAGCAGTTTAGATTCGAACTAAAGCTAACAGCTATCTACAGCTAAACAACCTATTTTTATAAACATTTATTTATTTATTTCAAATGGCAGGCTTTGTGATATTTATAATTGGCCCCTTAGTTGACTTCAGCTTCCCCCAAGGATGGGGGGGGGGGTACATTTATAGCAGTTAATTAATAGCAGTTCATTAGCTGTCTTCTTGCTTCCCAGTATCTCTGAATTTCCGTCGTTGTCTTTAGGGTTGGACATCGAATCAGGTGGGTCCTCTCCTTTTCCTCCTGTAGGTTACATAGAGGGCATGTTGGTTGAGTGTATACTCCCAATCTGTGAAGGTGTTTTGCCAAGCAATTTTGTCCGGTACGTAATTTAAACTCAGTAACGGCTTCGATTCTTGGCCAGTCGGGTATGTCGGAGAGTGCCACTGTCCACTGTTTCTCCTTTGTTCGAGCTTTAAGTTCGTTGCACCTTGAGGTCTGGAATTCTCTCCTGATTAAGGCCTTCATTGTGTGGAAAGACATCGGCCGGTCCATACATTTCAAAATCGTAGTCCCCTTCTTAGCAAGTGTGTCAGCAAGCTCATTGGCTTTAATGCCACAGTGACCAGGAATCCATTGTAGGACCACTGTTTCGTTTTTCTCTCTCAGCAGCTTATAGAGTTTTCTACATTCCT